AAAATGCTTTCACTAAGAAAGATTTTAAGAAGATAGTGATTGTAAAATTGCATTCTCGAATTCGATTATGGTTACCGTATCCCTTTCCATGATTTGATCTGTGAGGGTTGGCAATTAGTATTAATTGTTTAGACACACATATGAACTATCTAAGGCAAAGGTGTATAAGTTCAAGAAGCATTGATAAAAGATTATCAAAGCACTAAGTATTAGACATATGAACTTAAGAAATTCAATAAGTATTGTTTTTCGGAAAGTTGAGTTGTTTCTGAATACATGTCAAAGCTAGTCGGAGCATAAGTGTTATGTTTTATAGTAATCATCATGATAGTGGGAGCATAAATGTTATGATTGTATGATTATTAAGGAACATATTGCAAGTTGGCAATATTAATTATAGAAAACAAGAGTTATAACTTGCAAAGTCGTAAGGGTTGTAAAGTTGTTTTGCTATAATTAAGGGAGAAAATGTTATGGTTCATTTCAAATCTAAAGGCTTAGGTTGAGAAATGTTAATAAATTCAGTCAAAGTTACATAGTGTGTTCTTAAAATTTCGATTATGATTACGAGATTCCTCTTCACAATTCGAATTTTGAGAACATAGCAAATAAAACATTATGCATCGTGTCCCATACGCTTCGGGTATTGTGTCGATTCCAAATGCTTTAATATTTAACCATTCTAAAATTTTCCAAATGTCTAGCGCATTTAGAGGGAAAAGGGACTAGAATCGGTTTTGACTAAAATAATTAAACAACTATCAAACGACAATCCAAAGTTCGACGAGGATTGGTTGCTTATGAGTAGTTGGAAGCATTGTATTGGATGGACCATATCGACATTATTATGAACAGAAAAGATTCTATTAAGAATGAGTTGTCATATCAAAATATGGAAATGTTTCCATATTGGATGGACCATGTCGACATTATTATGAATAGAAAAGATTCTATTAAGAATGAGTTGTCATATGGAAAATATGGAAATGTTTCCATATTGGATGGACCATATCGACATTATTATGAATAGATAAGCTAGTGGGAGCATAAGTGTTATGTTTTACAGTAATCATCATGATAGTGGGAGCATAAATGTTATGATTGTATGATTATTAAGGAACGTATTGCAAGTTGGCAATATTATTTATAGAAAACAAGAGTTATAACTTGCAAAGTCGTAAGGGTTGTAAAGTTGTTTTGCTATAATTAAGGGAGAGAATGTTATGCTTCATTTCAAATCTAAAGGCTTAGGTTGAGAAATGTTAATAAATTTAGTCAAAGTTACATAGTGTGTTCTTAAAATTTTGATTATGATTACGACATTCCTCTTCACAATTCGAATTTTGAGAACATAGCAAATAAAACATTATGCATCGTGTCCAATACGCTTCGGGTATAGTGTCGATTGCAAATGCTTTAATATTTAACCATTCTAAAATTTTCCAAATGTCTAGCGCATTTAGAGGGAAAAGGGACTAGAATCGGTTTTGACTAAAATAATTAAACAACTATCAAAGGACAATCCAAAGTTCGACGAGGATTGGTTGCTTATGAGTAGTTGGAAGCATGGTATTGGATGGAACATATCGACATTATTATGAATAGAAAATATTCTATTAAGAATGAGTTGTCATATGCAAAATATGGAAATGTTTCCATATTGGATGGACCATGTCGACATTATTATGAATAGAAAAGATTCTATTAAGAATGAGTTGTCATATGGAAAATGTGGAAAGGTTTCCATATTGGATGGACCATATCGACATTATTATGTATAGATAAGATTATATTAAGAGTAAGTTGTCATATGGAAAATATGGAAACGTGTCCATATTGGGAATTGAATATTGAAAATCTATGTCTATATTAGAAACATTTATGCAAAAGGATGTTCAAAGGAATGTAATTTGAGTGAGAGACATCATATCCAAGAAATTGTCTTGTAACAATCTCCGATAGAGGACTTTGTAATATCATTTCCAATAGTCTTTGTGACTTTGGTGCAGTGACATTACAAAAGGATCATTTCATAAAATGTTAGAATCTAGCATATCTATAAGTAGCAAGAATTTGATATTCTTTCACTTATGGAAAAAGGATTTGGAGTTGTGAAATGAGAATGATTGGAAATGTGTTCAATTTGATCTATTTCACAAAGAAAGAACCATAGGTAAACATTGTGTGCATGCTAGGAGCATGGGACAAGTGTAATAATTCAAGTAAGAAGTCGATTACCCGAAACGACAAATAATGAGTAATCAATATGGTGATAAATAAAAGGTGTTTTAATTATGCTCAAAGGTTTGAGGCCATATGGGATTAGTATTATTCTTGTGTTTCACTTTGCATGTTTTGACTTCCTGAATAATTTAATTGGTTTAGAACAGTCAAATTATTCCAACGGGCCACAGTCGTTCATATGATGGAAGTAGATATGAATGAATAATGTCATGAATTGGTTGTAGATTGTCTAAAGCGTATTAGACATAGCAAAGGTTTGCTATAACGTTCATGAGTGCTTATGAATATGATTTTGAGCATTGGATTAAACCCACGTTCACTTGGATCGCTTCATGGATTTTATCACGAGCGATTGGTGAGACGATAAGATCTTGTATTCTTGAAATCGAGATGTGTGAGTTGTATCTTGCGAATTGGTTGCACATTGATAATATGTAAACGCACCAATAACTCGGTGTTATAAAACTTATTGTTGTGTGTGATTTGGTGAGTGAGTGCAAGCAAACATTGAGTCAAAGTTTATCCGTTCCTTTTACCCAAAGTGGCATAAAAGCGATATCTGAGGGCCCCTCGATGATTTAGTGATGACAAACGTAAATGCTCGGCCGGGCTAGGGCTAATTTGATTTGTTCAATTAGTCGGTCATCGTAAATCGGAAATCGAGAAACAACACATAGATTCAGAGAATAATTTCAATCCATGTCTCGTGTCTATACGATATCTAGAATGGAGGAATATATGATCCCTTATCTGAAGGACAGGTTACTGATAAGACTAGAGTTTGATAGTGTCTTTGAGAGCTATAATTGCAAATCGAGGTGTACTTACATTTGTAGTTACTAGAGTTATCCAAGTGGGAGACTGTTGGATTAGTGTCTACGCTAGTAACCATATTTGGTAAATACTTGACCCGATTGTGCATGGTCCTTTTGGGTTGCCTTCACCAACGTAACTTAACTGGAGAAATAATAGAGAAAGAGGTTATTATATTTATTAATATGTTATAAGAATAATATATTAAAGGAGAAATCATATTTGTTTAATTAATATTGGTCAATAATTAATTTTGTGATCGAATGTTATTAATTAAACTAGAGGGGCTGAATTTTAATTATATGATAGTTACAAAATAGGGTAAGGATTATCCTAAGGATAGGTTGGACGAATTTAAGGTGATAAGGCCTTAGAATTCGTCCATGATAAGGATTCAAGGCTTATCTTATGGTTTTCTTGGTGGGCAAGCAACTAGATAAAGATAATGACTGAAACCCTATCTCTACACCTATATAAACATCCCTTTGGCTCATGAATTCGTCCATACCTTCCCAAGGCTTCTTAGGGACGAAATTTTATACCTCTCCTTCTTTCTCTATAGCCTCTCCAATTGCTCTTGGTGTTTGTGAGCCATTAGAGGCACTACACTTGTGGTGCTTGCTTTCAAGACTTAGGGTTTGAAGATTCAAGTTTTTATTACAATATAACAACAAGAGGTATGTAATCTAACCTTCTTGGTTAATTTCGAAATTAGCAATCATCATTAGGGTTTTATTATGTGTTCATAATGTTGTGTATCTAATAGTGAAAACATAGATCCAATGCTAGGGTTGCATGTACACATAGGATTATTTGTATAAAACCCATCATTAGCTACATACATGGATTTGGTAACAAGTTTCATAGAGAACTAGCTACAACCAAAAAACTTGTAGCATTATTTTTAGTAAACTAGCAACGAAATTTAATTCTGGAGCAACTATTCAAGATTTAGCTACGGAATGCAATTCCGTAGCCATTTCCGTAGCAAATTAGTTACAACCAACCATTTTGTAACATATTCCGTAATAAGATAACTATGAATTAGATTCCGTAACAACTTTATGTAGTTATTTAAGATTTAGCTACATAATGCAACTTCGTAACCATTTATGTAGCAAAATAGCTACGATAAGTCGTTCCATAGGATATTCCGTAGTAAAATAGCAACGGATTTTGATTCCATAGTAACTTTTCGTAGCTATTTAAGATTTTTTTTGTAGTGTGAAACAAACAAAAATTCTAGCTTATATAACTGCCTTGAAGAAGCTGTGCAATCATCCAAAGGTAAAACATTTTTGGAAGAATCACGACATTATTAGGTCAATTTTTTTTTTCTGATGCATTTCTTTGATATTGTAGCTGATTTATGATACAAGGAAAAGTGGGAAGCCAGGGACATCATGTTTTGAAAACTGTATGCGTTTTTTCCCTCTAGAAATGTTATCCGAAAGGTAAAACTAAATCATGTCTTATTATGTTGTGTTATTTTGTACAATGTTCTTGATATTTATTTATTTATTTATTTAATTATTAATTTGTTAGATCTGGATCTTGGGCTGGTGGTGATGGATGTTGGACTAGTGGATGATGACCTGGTTGAACTGTCAGGAAAGATGTAAGTCTTGGCCAGTTTGTTGGCCCATCTTTGTAAGAGAACTGATGATCGAATTATATTGGTTTCAAATTATACTCAGGTATACATTACAAGTTATTTTATGTAATTAGGAGTTTAATAAAAGTGATTAAATCTTTAAGTAGTTGTAATTCTTCAGACACCGAGCAAAAGTTGCAGGATGGGTCCACATCAATCAACATAATACAAAAGTTGGTCAACTGCTTCAATGATCCATCAAAGGTATTTAATTTTTAATCATTAATAAGTACATACTCATTTAATAAAAAAATACATCATTATGTCGTAGGATGAGTTTGCATTTCTTTTAAGCAGCAAAGCTGGTGGTTGTGGCCTCAACTTGAAATAGACTTGTTCTGTTTGACCAGATTCGAATCCTGCAAATGACAAACAAGTACTTAGACATTCAACATTGTTTTTCTAGGGACAAAGTCGTCTTTTTTATACCTTTCTTTTCCATGTAGGTTGATGTAAGAGTCTAGAGGGATGGACAAAAGAAGATAGTCTACATCTATAGGTTTTTGATATTAAACATTGATATTTGATGTTTTTGGACGTTTTGTTTGGTATTTGATTTTGGTATTTTAATATTAGTGTTTGTTTTGGATTGTATAATTATTTGATGTTTTTGGTATTTTATTATTATTTAGTTTGGGATTGTATAATTATTCATGTTTTTAGTATTTTTTGTTTTAGATTTGCAATAAAAAAAATTAATATTATACATTTGCGAGGGATCGGTGACGGAAGCAAAAAAGAAAAACACATCCAAATTTTGCTAGGGATCAGCGACGGAATATAAAAAGACGGATATAGAGGTTTGCAAGGGATTAGCGACAGAAAATAAAAAGATAGATAGAGAGCTTTGCAAGGGATTAGCAACAGATTTATTTAGTTTTGTTGCTGATGTCCTAAAATAACGGTATTAAGAGAGCAATTTGCGATGGATATTCCGTCGCTAAAGTCATTGCAAAGAAAATCAAGTCTGTCGCTAAATCTCTCGCTAAGCCATTAGCCACTTTTTATTTGGCTATGGAGTAAGTATGTCACAGATCCGTCGCAAATGACCTCTAGTGATGGAATAGCGATGGATTCATCCGTCGCTAAAACCCATGTTTCTAGTAGTGGAGGTGGTGAAGCTGAAATGTGAATGAAGAACAAGTAAAGCATCCGCACGAGACAACTTCTCTGAGTAACTGAAAGATGGGACCCCCCTTATCAGCATTGATCTTGGACAAAAATTGATTTTGCAGGAGTATAAGTGGATGGACATAAGAATCATATAAAGCTTCTGTTCTACTGCATTACCAGATATCTAGATATTGGTACAAGTCATACAAAATAAATAAAGTACACTAAAACATCCAACCTTCTTATTTTGATACTTAGTAAGTTGCAATGATTAAATTTTCAAACTTACATGGTATCAGGGATGTCATTCATAGGATTTAAACAATCATGGTTCCTAAGATTGGAATTCACCTTGGTATAACACTTAGATTCTATAGCCTCAGTTTGACCACGTTCAGAATTATTGACCAATAGATCAAAAGCAGGACACCATTCTGCTGATATCTGTAAGAAAAATAACAGTTAAAGTTATTGTTAGATTCTCAAAGCCACCAACATTCTATAATCATCAACATACAATCACAAAGTTGATTATGTGACAACCTTTTCCACAGAATCAGGAGAAGACTCCTCATGTCCACCTTTTTTATCCCCATCCATAGCAACCCCATCATCTCCAGAACTCCTTTTCAGAGACAATATAAGACTATTATCCATCAAAACCCTAATATTTCCTTTAGTTCTCCTCTAATGTGGTGTTGACTTAACAGGAGAATTCCCCACATTGTTTTCTAATGCTACATATTCTTTCTCGGCCTTGGATATGCATGGAGACATAAGTTTAAGCTTCAACTTTTTCTGCAACCCACCAACATGAGCATGACTTTTTAGCTATTTGACTATTCTTCCATGCAAATCAGGAGGCAAGTTGTCATCCTGCAAGAATCAAGAATCCCATAAAACAAAGTTCTTGACCTTAGAATCTTATATATGATATTGCTAAAAGATAAATATGGCATTACAACAAGATTTGATGCCAACAAGTTAGCAGAAACATTAATCTCTGAGGCCACATCTTTCAAATTAAGTTTTCCTCATTCAATCAACTACATAATCAAGGGTAAGGTTGTGTTACACATGAAGTTTTTAAGAAGGATATGTTTCGAGAATATTTATTGTACCTTCTTCAGAAGTAGAGTGAAATTAGAATAATCATTCGCTTTCACATCTTCAACCACTACAGAAAGGTTTTCCAGATGTGGGCTATGATCTTTTTAGGGTCCAGAATGCTTTAAGAAAAAAGCTCGTAACTCAACCTATGTAAACTAGCAAAAAGAAAAAGGTGAAAAGAAGAAACACAAAAACCTAAGCATTTCATAACAGGTTTTGATGTACCTATATATCCAGAACCCTTCCTTTATAATGTTGTTTCATAATCATATTATATGTCACTGTACCTATATATTATAATACTTGCCCTGAAAAACTCAACAGTAATGCTACTTTTTCTCAACTTGTAAGTCTAGTTTTCTTTATTCTATAGGATGAATTATTCAAGCTGGTTATCATATTTTTTTAGCACAGTAAAAGTGAAAGAAAAGCATACAGCTTCACTCCTCACAGCATTCTACAATCCAAATAGATCAAGTTATGTAGTTGATATTTGGTAGATACTGAGATTTGTCTGCTAATTAGAATCAATGATTGTTCAATATGTTCCAAATATACATAAATTTGACTTTGCAAATCTTGTTTTTTTGCACAAATTACCCTTTACTTGCACACATTACCCTTTAATTTGCGGCCTTCAAATACATACAAGTCGAAATAAAAATTCTAGGCCAAAATAGTTTGTTTTTTTTTTCATTTATATGCCCTAACTTCAAATACATCATCTATACCGTACCCCTTCATAGTAGTAGTCCCTGCATTTCCAAATTTTTTTTGTGACCATAGTGTACCCCTCACCATCTTTATCAATCGCATCCTGAATATCACTCTTGACAGCAACATTTTTTCCATTTATAACAGCCAAATAGATAGAATCATCATGCCCATAAACTAATATTATTCATATGACTCTTCACTTGATTCAAATCAGAATTAGGGCTAGAACTCACAACTGCATCGTTCGGAATTTTCCAATTCTTAGATAAGTTTGCAGTGTTACGTGAAGGAGTAGAATCCTCATGAATGATCGGAGGAAAATCCTTGGTCACTTCATCCATAACATTGGAATTAGAACCCTTGATTGAAGCTTCACAAGCAACCCTAGAAGCAATGGAATCAGATTCCCACACACCATCAGATTCCGATACATCCTCCCTCTCTTATTCTGTAACATCATCCACAGAGTAATCCTCAGCATCCATAGGAGTTCTGAGAAGAGAATCACCCCGATTAGGTTTCCTAACTTTATGCAAACCCTCCAATTTCCACTCCGCTTTCCCGATTCCCGACACAACTCCCATCGTAACAACGGAAATGATGAGAAGATACTTCAACATCAGACGAAAAACTTCACCGGAGAAGCAACAACGACGAATCTAGCAAAAAAGGCACCGCCGATCAGAGAGAATTTTAGAGAGAGAAAGGGTAGAGAGAGAAAGCATTTTTTTGTACGTCTGAAGTTTCTTAATCTCCTTCTTCAATTCGGCCTCATACTTCTCCTTTTGATTGGCATTGTCAGTATCGTATACCTAAAATACGAAATTTAACACGCGAACATGAAACTTCAGTATTCAGATTACACAAAAACCAGTAACGTCAATAATTCAAAGAAAATTAAAAACATTTACGAATAGGCCTAGGAGAAAGGATTAGGAGAAATCGTACTAGGTTTTAGTGTAGAAATCAAACTAGTTTCGATTGTTGTAGAGACTTGGGAGTACCGATCGAGACTCGGAGAGCGTTTTGAATTTTCTTGAAAAAGCCCTAGGTATGAATGATGGGAGATACATAGGAGATATAGAAGAAGCAGGCACTTCAAAAATTTTGCCCTTTAAAAATGCGTGTTTGATAAAAAAATATAAAGAGACATTTCTAGAGGACACACATTTAAAACAAGTGCCCTCCGTGTTTGTATTTTTTTTTGGACATTCATTTAAGGCACTTAAAAATGCATGACCTCTATCCTTCAAATTTTGGAAGGCTAACATTATTTTTAAGGGCACACAAAAATGTGTATCGTACATCAGAGAGTGTCATTGTTCGCGCGTCATTAAAGGGTATTTTTCTTATAGTGTGGAATAAGGATCAAATAAACATTGACTACATATGCTAGTTCTATTCCTCATGCAACATCTAGTGAAACCCTATATGGTTTCCAATTACGAACAATGTTGGGGTAAAACCAAGACATAACAGATTGTGGAACAAGACCTCATGTATCTCCATCTGAATAACAGAAAAAACAACCATCTTAGTTTACTTATGACATAACCCATGGAGTAATCTTTAAGTGTGGTTATTTCAATACTTAAAATCTTCATTTTCAACTACTCATTAATATTGGTTGTAGAACTATGCTATGTTTATCCCTATTAACAATCTACTAATACTATGGAAATCTTAATTCACTACTATCTTCCAAGCATAGGACTGATTGTGGAAGTTTGAATAATAAAAATTATTCTGGAAGTAGTTCTAAATATGCAAAATAAGAAACATAGATAATATGAAAAAGCATAGCAATTTATTATTAATAATCACTAAATGAAAATATCCAAAATTTTCTATATGATCAAACTACAAATTGTGAAATCAAACCAATTAACTAGCAAAACAAATGCCAATAAACCTAGTACGAGCATCATGTTTAATTTGTAACAATGGTTTAGTGAGTGGACCAAGTGGATTATCTTCTGATGGAACTTTGCTCGTAATGATGTCTCCATTTTTAACTAGTTTCCTAATATAGTAAAACTTTCTATGTATATGCCTTGTGTGCTTGTGATATCGAGATTCTTTAGCTATAACAATTGACTCCTTGTTATCACATAAGATCTCAACTATTTTGGCCATGCTAGGAACCATACCCAAATCTTTGATGAACTTCTTAATCCATACGACTTCTTTGGTTGCTTCATTGGCTGCAATATACTCTGAATATGTAGTTGAGTTAGCTATAGTCTCATGCTTGGAATTTCTCCATGTCATTGCTCCTTCATTTAACATGAATACATAACCATACTCTGATATGAAATTATCCATATTAGTTTGGAAACTTGCATCCATATTTCCTTTGACGCTTAGCTCTTCCTCACCACCATAAGCCATGAACATGTATGTAGTTCTCCTTAGATACTTAAGAATGCTATCGACTATGGTCTAATGACTTTCACCTAGATTGTATTGATAACGACTCATCATACTAATAGCTTACGAGACATATGTCATTGTATATAGTATACATTATCGATCCTATAGCTGGTGCATATGGGATTTGAGTCATTTTGTCCAGTTCTTCAATAGTATTAGGAGATTAGGTTTTACTTAAAATTGTCACACATTTCATAGGTAAAAATCCCTTCTTAGATTCTTCCATCTTGAATTTCTTCAGTATTTTATCTAAGTACGTATTTTGGCAAAGCCCTATTATTCACCTAGATCTATGCCTATATATGTTGATACCAAGTATCTAAGCACCTTATCTGAAGTATTTCATAGAGAAACTCTTCCCAAGCCGTGATTTTACACTATGATGTCATTTCTTATTAGAAGAATATCATTATCCTATAAGATAAGGAATACAACTACCCTCCAACCATATCTAGCATACACACATTTTTCATCTTCATTTCTCAAGAATCCACACCCCATGATCTTCTCATTGAAGCAGATGCTTGTTTGATTCCACATATAGACTTTTCAAGCTTACATACCATATTAGGGGACTTGTACTGTACAAAGCCTTTTGGTTGATCCATATAAACATCCTTAGTCAGTTTCCCGTTAAGGAAATCAGTTTTATATCAATTTTCCATGATTTATAGTCATTAAATGAATCTATGGAAAGTAGTATCCTAATAGACTTATGATGGGTTTTGAGCATAAGAAAAAAAATCCTGTATGTGCATGCAACCCTAATTTTTGGATCTATTTTTTCTCTAACTGAACATACAACTATTGAACATCAAATGGAAAACCCTATGAGATATATGTTATTTTTGAAAATCATATAACTAGGGTTAAAATACATACCTTAATTGTTATATTGCAATAACAATGAATTCCTAGTATTCTTGAACTTTCAGAGCAAGTGTTACAAGTGTCGCACCTCTAGTAGATCACACCTAAACTTGGCAAGAGGATGAGAGAAGAGAGCGGAGTAGGGAGCTTGAAATTTCAACTGCTCTTCTTAGTTTTTCAGGTGGCTAGGCTCTTTAAATAGGTGAGGTAGCTTAGAGAAAAATCCAGGTTTTAGGAGGAAAGCCTAATTCCTTAGCTTAAGGACAAGGCAGGCCAAGAATCCCTATCCAAGACCTCTTGGACAAAAATTCTAGGCACTTCCTAGAAGTTTTCGTCTAAGACTTTCTAGGGAGGTTCTAGAGCCTCTTTCCTCAACTATTAATAAATTGTCAAACAGTTGTTTCACTTTTAGTTAATTCTTTTAATCCCAAAACTAGTTCCAATTAACTTCTGATTAAATATGAATTAAATAATGTGATCTATAACTAATATATTATTTTCATAATACATTAATAAATCATTTATTTGAATTTATTATTGATATAATAAATTAAACCTCTCTCTAAAGGTCATCCTGTCTAGTTGCGAGTTATGAGGGAAACTCAAAAGCACTGTGCTACTATCAATTCAAGTATATAGAAATTATAGTTATGTGATTAGACACCTAATCCAACAAATTAATCATAGCTACTGGTTGGAAAGTTTCCTCATAATCAATTCATTGAGCCTGAGTATAACTGTTCGCACTAGATGAGCTTTATAAGTTTGTATGTTCTCATCCATTTCTTTCTTCTTATTGAAGACTTATATGTGTGTGTGTGTGTGTGTGTGTATATATATATATATATATATATATATATATATATATCCAATGGTTTGAATACCCTATAGGATCAAATAGGTTCCATACTTGGTTATCGTATATGGAATGAATCTTGATGACTATTCCTCTATCCATTTTTCCAGCCTCTAGGCTCGGCATGGCTTCATGATAGCTATATTGCTCATTATTACCTAACATGTTGTCATCTGATTTAGTAATATGGAATCCATAGATCTATGGTGGATGAGGTTCTCTATCAGTTCTAGAAGGTGGTGGTAGAAGTATATCAGCTTCACCAACTGGTTATTCAACCTTTTTTGTGGTCTAGTGTCAAGTTTAGGTTTTTTATTAGCTGACTCATGAATCTCATCAAGATTAATTAGGCTCCCACTAGTTTCTTGATATATCAGCTCACTATCACAAAAGAGTGCCCTAAAAGCAAGAAAGATCATGCTCTCGGTATACATGTAAAACAAGTACCCAAAAGAACCTTTTCGATAACCACTAAAGTAACACCATTCTAGTGTGGGTTCAAGTTTGTCGAGCGATTCTTGATGAAAGAAAAACTCATAACCCTAAACCTCGATTCGTGCTTGAGAGAGATGTGTCCCTTTCTACATTTAAATGGTGTTTTCTCAACCTTCTTATTTGGTATAAGGTTTAGAATATAAGCGGTTGTTTCTAAGGCATAACCCCATAAACTACTTGGAAGTATATCATGAGTCATCATAGAATGAACCATGTCAAGTAAGGTTTGATTTTTTTCTCTTATACATTCCTTTGTATCGCGATGTTTTTTATGTAGCTAATTGTGTGACTATCCCATAATTTCTAAGACGATTGTAGAATTCCTTTCTAAGATACTCTCTGCCCTTATCAGAACGAATTAATTGATTTTCTTGCCTAGCTGGTTCTCTAATTCTCTTTGAAATTTCTTAAATACTTCTCAGACTTATGTTTAATCAGATAAACATATCCATATCTACTGAAATCATCAGCAAATGTGACAAAGTATCTTTCGTCATGTCTAATGATGGGTTTGAACGGACCACAATCATCGAAATGGTTATGTCCAACATAGTTATTCTTCTCTTAATGTTTCATGTGAAAGGAGATACTCATTTTCCTAAGTAAACAAGATTTGTAATCTCCATTAAACTCTAAGTTAAATGGTTCCATGATTCCATCTGACCGGATAAAATGAAATACCCGGTAGCTGCTTTTAGTGAATAATATCTCTTGCTTAGAGCTTCCTTCGCCTTTTCGAGAATGATGTATTCCTTTCTAGAATATCCTATTCCCCTCAATAGGAATTCTCTCTCTCTCGCCGATGCTATTGAATCCGCTGCTATTTCATATGAGTCACTAATGTTTCCTTCCATGTAAGCCAAAATACTAGCATTATGTTATCAAACCAAAATGTAAAACCAACACACCACAATGCATAAAATGAAATAATGTTTCCTTCCATGTAAGGCGAATAGAATCAATCTT